ATCAATCCATTCTTCACTTTGTGCTGTACCTATTTTTGGAACGATACAAAGATTCACTAGCTAATAGATCCATTGCAGTACTGCTTCAGGAGAGACAAGATCGAAGATGACATAAGGAACGGCATAGATTGACCTGTCCTTCGAAACTGGAAGGATGCTCCCGAGGGGAACATCACAATAACAGCAATAATAGTACATAGGGAAAACCTCGGTCGTAACTAGCTGAGACAACTCACACTACGTTATACCTACCCGAACCTCGCTTTACAATACAACCAAGGGGTACAGCCTGTACTAGAATTATTATGGAAGTTTGACTTCCAGTTGTACCTGGAGCTATTTTAATCGTTATTTTAATTAAATATAGAAAAACCAAAGCAACAAAAGTTCATATTAATGAAGATGGCTATCAAGGTAAACTTTGCTTCAATATCTGCCTACTGTTTTAGATCCATACACACAGTAAACACGCAGTAGATATGAAAGGACTCTTAAGGGTGAAATCTATGGCTGAAATTTATATGTCAATATAATTCGTTTGGTAACGACGATAGTCCTGACGGAACCAAAGGAACGTTGAATTCAGTCTTTTCTCTTCTTCGGTTTCTCCCATTGGTTTCCTTGTGATCTATGGCTGTTTCCATTTCACAACTTTCCTTCGGCGTCAGCAATTTTCAGTTTTTCAAAGCAACCGGTTCCTTGGCCTATTTTTCTTTCGCTGGTCCTGCTAACAGACTGACGCGATATCAACGACGTAGAAGTACCCCGGGGGGTGACAATGCTGGGATGGTCGATGTGGTGAGCTTGATTGTCAGACAAGCGTTGCAACTGCAAGCAGCGTCTGTCTCGCTTGTGCTATCCGTATTGTCATCCGAAGCCCCATATCGACGCGGAGAACGACAATTGGTGTTGGTCTGGTAATAATGATGCTGATATTGGGTCGTCCTGGGGACTGAGTCTATCGTTCAGTGAGTCTGTGCAGGGCGGCTATAAGAATAGCAGTGGCAGTCAGTCGTCAGTAGCCGATCAAGCGGTCCCAGGGTCCACAGCGTGGATAATAACAGTAATATAAACAGCGGTTGCTGCCATCTTATCATCGCCAGTCGGTTGGTCGAGACCGCCACTGAGAACTGCAGACGACGACAACGCCGTCGACATCTGCGGGAGGCGACAAGCCGCTGGAGCAACGATTGGTTACTTCGGTCTACTTCAACTGAATTCGCTGTATTCTAAGTGAAACATTGCATAGCGCGGAACCTTGACGACGACGCTAGCGGGGACCAACGCAGCGAACGATGAGAACAAGAAGAAGATTGTAGACCAAACGAAAGTGGATGTTGACGTGGTTTACGACAACGACGATGATGGTCATGATCATGCCTCTGCTGCTGCTGCTGTTGTTTCAGTCGTTTTTTTTCGATGTAGAAGGGGGAAGAAAAATAGTTCATAATCGCCGAGGTTAACCAGAGCACACAGCACATAGCCGTGTGCAGGTAAAGAGCTGAACTATAGTTGAAGTTGAAGACGACGGCAGTAGCATTGACGGTCACCGTTGTTAATATGATTTTCTCATTACCAGGGGCATGGGTATTAATGGGTCAATGATTTTAATTTCAACCGCGGCCATCGTAAACTACAAAAAGCCCACTAGAAATATGCCACTGGTAACGATAAATAGTCAACCGATATTCTCCAGGGTCAAAAATTCTTAAAGCAGTTCAAAATCTTTAAAACCAGACTTTACTACGCGTGATTGTACCACTGCCATGTTGTAATCAGTCAGATCGTCATTATATTATAGTGTTGTCTGATTGTCGTCGGCTTATTTCGTTTTCTAATTTCCACAAGAATTCGTCACGAAGTTACACAAATTCGTTGTAAGTATGGTTCCCAATTCCCATCGCGCGTAAACAGCCGTCGGCTAGGACGCAACTCGCGCATAATGAGCTCTTTTTACCTGTAGTTTGGATGGCACTCCAGAGTCTGTCACCGGTGCAGGGTGCAATATATTGTTAAGTGGTTAGAAAGTGGCCAGCAAACGTCTGCCCCATTTCTTTACAAATTCTTATGTACCAGCCAATACTTTGAAACATCTTCTTGAAAGGACTCAGCATAAGATTACAGGTTATTCGGTGCTTCTCCCTTGATTTTCAAATTATTGGTTGTAGCTGGAGAATGTTTTTGTATATAGTGGTTATTTTGTTATAGTTTAGTCGAAGACGCTTCTCTTCGCTTAAGCATATCCTAAAATGCTCAGTACTGATACGGGCTTTGTTTTTTTTTAGAGCAGAAAACGTATTTCAATAACTGTAGTATAATAAAACACCGCAGATCAGTAATAGTGCATCGTGCTAAATGCGTGGATACGTCACCACGATAGTCTTGAGTTAAGGTTATTGATTATTGTTAACGGGGTGCAATGGCGCTTACAGGTAGTTCGGAACGAGTGACGTCAATTAACTTACTAAACAATCAGTATTTAATAACGACAAGTAATAACTTTTTCCGTTAATACTACGCTCCATCTTATTTAAAAGAAAAAGTTATCTTGCTTCATTCTATATTTCATGCTACTGCATTAGGGTAAAAATAGATAGACACGGTAACACTCGTGCTGACATCCTGTAGTTTCGGTAACAATGTAAAACCTAAGGAATGCCTAATGACTTAGGTAGTCGAAAGGTTCAATTTAAGGAGCGAGCAAAGGACTCTACAAGTGACATGCGGGTCGCGTTTCTGTATAACTCTTGAAAAAAACATTGTCTGAAACGCAATTGCTTATGAGATTGTGCTCACTTTTAATCATTTAGCGTATATGATATCGAACAAGGGATTTCTCACCAAGATGGTACAATGTTATAACGCCTCGATCAGGAACGTTATCTACAACGGTCAAAAGGTACGACAAACACTTACCGAATCGTATGCTATTTAACGTAACTACCGGATGAGAGTCATTATTATTACCATTATCTCTTTACTAGAGTCGCGTCGCTGTTGAAAGCAGTCTATTTGAATTGCAATATGCCGAAGAAGGCAAAACAAAGCGTCTGAAACACTAGGGCGATTTACTTGTTGAAGGGAGGATATATTACGGGCTTGTTCTTAACTCTCATCTGTACTAGTTACTTAAGTTTACTATTCTGCATATGAAGTTAGTCCTAAATATTTAGTCAATGTAGGATAGTCAATAGGAGAGATCAATTGTTGTGCGAGCTGGAACGACAAAACTTTTGCTTGAATTTATGATAAACACCTTCCGAATCGAGTCGCCTCTGTGCCGTGAGAATTTCCCTGGCTTCCTTAAAACTGATGGTAGGTCAACTCAGGACCATGGACATCCTTAGCAAAATTATATTCACGGCTGTATTAATTCAAAGCTAACTTAGCCCTGTACACACGTGCATGCGTGCATGCATGCGGCCACATGTGCCCAGTTAAAGGGGGGATAATGCCCAACCACAAGCTCGCCCCATCCCCTCTTTAACGTCTCGGGACAAATTCTATTTTTTATCGCCAAGCAGCGATTTTTTATGCATCTATTCAAACCATGTCGAAGAAAGAGAAGAGCATTTGCATTTCCCACAAAATCTGTTAACCGCTCGTCGTGATTGTGCTGATTTTATGTGAAAACTATTTTAATAGGTAGATCTTTTAAAATCGTATTGCAGATCCTAATAAACGAATGAACATTATAGAGAGAAGCCGTAATTAAAAAAACAACCAGTAAGTACGTTGCGTTGTTAAAATACTCTGAGGTCATTAGAGTGCCACCTCTGGCTGCTGTTGGGCCACCCCAAGTTCATGACTCGTATCCTTTCCATGAAACCCCAAATTAATCTTTTTCTGTTCAGGCTAATCTTTTAAGAAACAAGCCACAAAGTTTGTCCGAAAAGAATTTTTAGAGAATCATTGTCAAATCTCTCTCCGTCCTGTTTCAGCACTAGGCCCTATGACTACTGATAGCCGAGGGCATCTTGAAATGTACTTATGGGCAAATATCTTTGTCGAAATCGGCACGTGCAATCGAATACGCTTCAAGCACTTGTCATAACGTTGCACGCAGTCAGAAATCAGCTGTAAGAAGTTTGTTATCGCGTGGACCTCTAAGACTCGGAATAACTGTGAAAAAGTGCTCTTTGGGTATGGTACGGTTGAGGACAAAGGGTTGCTGTTAGAAAACGCCTAGTCTTTCTTTTCCTACACACTTTAGTTGCCGCAAGAGTTGTTATGAGACAACCTGTTGCCCTTAACATGCGCCGCTACATGCTTAATACTATTCATTTTATTTACTATTGCAAGTGATAGCCTGAGACATAATTTTTTCACTGATCGAAAACAAAATAGATATTTTTTTATATGCTTGCCATTACTCCGTAATTTCGATTGGCCAAGGTGGAAATTGGAATTTCAACGTTGTGGCTGTTACTGTAAGATATAGCGTATGTTAGAGTGTTGGACGTCGTTTAATAGTTACAGTTGTACATACGAGTGACAACAAAGTGTTACTTAAAATCATTTGTTTATAGCCCAGACTGCAAAAACGCAACGGTTTAAAAAGTGGAGTCAATTAATCCAAACTTAATTATTATCACAAATCTGTTATTACGTTTCGGTACATTACACTGTGGAAGGTCAGAAAGCTCTACCCGAGGGGCCTTATATGTAACTTTCGATTTCGCGCAGAGTTAATAATAGTATTTAAGATCTGGCACATTTCATTTGGGATCTTACTTGCTCGAGCGTAGCTAGTAAAGTACAGTTTCTTTTTTCTTTGAAATAGAACTATATTGTATTACGGATTTTATTAGAAAAATACAGCGAACGGCGCTTTTAAACAGCTGCGTTTTACTTGCTTCAGAGTAAATTCTGCTCAGAGAGGAAATGTATCTAGCAACAAAAAAAAACAGATGGTAAACCTAGGCACGTTTTACGTGACATGGCGAATATGGAACTCGTTGAATGAATGAGTTCCCTCAGTGTTCTATTCGTTTACGCACCATCTTATCCGTTTCGTGTCTGTAGGTGCTTCGAATCTTGCAACCGATCCGGCACACGCTCACCGGCGTTTGCGTCCTTATAGCGCACAGCAGCAACTAGGATAGATGACACAATCACTGTTTCTACGCGATGTCCTTATGCACGACTCAGTCGTACTAATGAGTGCTCACGTACTCAATGTTAGCAAAAACTGGAACTCCAGTCTCACTATGAATCAGATGTCTACTGTTTCCGTAAATGCAATTCTTTCGTCTGTGCCACTCACCAAGTTGCAAGCGCAATATTGTGGCCAGTATACAGCCCCGTTGTCGTTGTACTAGTCGCAGTTGTTCTTCTATTGATACCCTACAACTACACACACCTGCACACGTCTGGGGTTCAATTCCCGGAGCTCTGACTCCGCGTAACGGGACCTTAACGTCTTTTAAGACACCATTGCAGCTTCTCTCGCCCAACTGGCGAGGGGAATCCTACACGAAGAAGTCGCCTGGACCAGCGTCGGCCGTCATCGTTAGAGCGCGTTGTGGCCGTCATCATCCCCATGCGCGTTTCTCAGCTTCTCCACATGCTGTACCAGGCGGTATTAACACCAGTAGGAGTACCATTGGCTACTGCAGCCGTCGTTACCGCCACGGCGGCCACCAGCGCCAGCGGTACAGTTCCGTCGCCGGTACCGTTGCACCGCCGCTGCCGTCGGTCAACAGCGAAGCACAGTTGGGGCAGAATTCCAGCTCCTCGAATCCCTGCGGAATGGCTTCGTCTTCTTCTGCCTCATGAGGGACACCTCCCGGTTACCGCCTTCTTATTATAGTCGTGCTTGTCGCAGATAGAATCTACCGGCCGCAGCTGCTGTTACTACGGGCAGCTCTCTCTATCGGCAAGAAATTCTGTGACATGAGCCACATTGTGAGTTGTAGGCGCAACTCTTGCTCCGTTTCCCTGCGACAATCCTGCTCGTTTACTCCAACCCACCTATTGATAATGACAGTGCTAGCCGACGAACAAAATTAAGTAATGACGAAAAACAAGAGCAAGTCATCGCATCAGAGGCTACGAGGACGATAATGAGGGCCAGGTGAAAGGAGAACAGAGACATAGGCGCTTATTTGGCGCTACCGCCGCCACGATCGCTGACGCGATGGCAATGAAGGAGGAGACAACTGACCGCGCGATCGTCGACATATTAGTTCTTGGCCGCCGGCGTCATTACTACTCGAAGAATCGAAGTGACATAAATTGGTTTCATAGTGATATAGCAGTAGTAATAATAATATTAACGATGACGGTGATGACGCTGGTGGGAATATTGACAACGAATTAAGCTCTACATAGAGGTAATCATGTTAACCGAATGTAGCGGGTACAGCTACGGGTGCACGTTAATTTTTTCCGCGCCATAGCGGACGAATTTCACGTGGCAGTATTTATATTATAGCAATTGACGCAATTACAGTTTGTGATTGCACTTAAGCGTTCTTACCTGAGCAGAAGCTGAAAAAGACTAAAAACGTGAGTGAAAAGCTGCCACAGGCTATTCATACTATAGCAACGTTTTACCTGAAAACAAATTCGCTTTATCTGGAATGCAAAAATAAGACACAAAAAAAAAATGCATTTTCTCGCTAATCTACAGAATCAACGATGGAGCACAAGCTAGCTGGAGCTAATTAGCGGACAGCTTTCGGCTTTAATCCACAAAAGCTGATTAATAACTAACGAAAAATGATGATATTTTATAATTTTTTTTTCTTTTTAATATTCAGCATAAAATAAGCGCACAAAAGGCCATGGAACAATACATATTTAGGCTGCGAAGGCTAATGAAGCTCCCGATACCGTGACGACGAACCGAGCACGATAAATAATCGATGTTCATTTTGGTTTGTTATAGTACCGTTTCTCGTACGGATACGAGGGTACGCCGCCACCGCTGCCGTGGTGTTCGTAAAGGAAGAAAGGTACGTGGTCTTAGGTTATTGTAGAACGTGTATGAGAAAAGCCATTTCGCGACTAAATCTACAACCTGTGGGTAAAGCGATAACACGTAGGTCCGTCCTCAGATCGTGCATAGCCCGTTCTGCTAGTAGAACATCCGGAAGAAAATGAGGAATCCGTTCGTGTGAATCTGACAGACCCCGCATTTAAGTTTACAATAGGCAGATTGTTTCTAGAATAAGTAATCAATTACGGTGCGCAGTATCCACTTCAATATAGTTCAACGATAAACCATTTGGCTGTGATATGTTATGGGGACGCTCATGCATATGCACAAGTTTTTTTAAATAGACTCTTTAAATATACACATATAGACTTCTCGGGTGGGTGTTTATGCAGATAAAGTGACAAAGGTCATAATTTCTATTATTAGGTGGTCCAGTTCCTTTTTTAGGCCTGCTGCTCATAACAAGGACTATAAATAGCAGATAACATGATAAAGTAACGCTCATCAAAAGGTAGAGCAAATCGAAGCCTCGGGACTTTAGACCTTTAAAGGAATTTTGGCGTTACTTCAAATAGGCTCAAATTGCGATCTATATGCCAATAAAAAATTCGAGGTTTATCATTAACGAGGCACGTTTAGGCAGTTTAAGTTTTTAGTTAAATTCTTAATACAGGTTAACTGTATTTCATCTAGTAACAATTTTGCAGTAAACATCGCACTTGATTCGGTTGTCATAAAAACTATATTACATTAAATTACTTCTACGACATATAAGATTAGATAATTCCGTTTGCTAGTTCGTATAATAGATTTAATAGGCTAGAAAGGGATATAGCCCAATATTTAAAATTAGGCGTTTTTATAAATTTTTTTTGTCTCAGCTGAGTCTTCTGAGCCATCTTTGTAATGCTTTAATAGTCCACCTATCTACGTGCATAAACAGACAACGTAACTGCAATAATACCAACTTAAATGTTGTTTTCTATGGTCGTTAATTGATCATCCGGTTCGGAGTATCGACCGCTGCTGTTGTAAGTAGTACCTGTAGTTTGCAAAACATATATTTATTTTTGGGTGTATGTATATTTGTGTTTCTGTGTGTTTTTGGGTGTGTGTGTGTGTGTGTGTGTGTGAATGTGCGTGTGTGTGTGCGCGTGTGCGTGTAGAAACTAGACAGTAAAACAAAGAAAAGAAATGCAGGCAACGGTGACGAGTTTGAGACAAAGCTCTTCTGTCGCTCGGCCAAAGCAGTGAAAGACGGATTATTGCATCGAACGCCCAGTGGCAACCAGCATGCCAGCAGCGTCACCATCATCGCCGTCGTGGATGGTGCAATGGACCAGCAAGAGCCGAAATATCACGGCATAATACAGCGGCAGCTGCAGCAGACGAAGACCCAGAAGCCTAGGCGAAGTTCATTTAAATACGCACCACCTACCGTTACCAGCCAGTGGCGATCGCCACTACTATGGTTTTCAGTTGTCCCTTTCGTCCTCGAAAAAGCTGAAAAACGAAAGCGTAAAAAGATGAAATTTTTGCAAATAGTTCCACGAAATCTAGCTACCTGGACAATCTGTTTGAGTTCAGTGTATTACAATATCTAAAAAGTTACACATGAAACTGTTGGGCTGGAGCGCATAGCTCTGAATGGGAAAAACGGGCATAAGGATTGGTCTTTACATTATAGCATGCAGTATAAGCCGTCGCAGTCCTACACGCGCTGAACGATTCAAGTCACTACAATGTATAGAATCAAAACATATATTAATATATTAAATTCGGCAGAGTCTGTCGCCTCCCTGAGAACTATTTAAGCAAGCATTATAGAGCGTCCAACGCGTCTGAGGACCAAGTCCAACCGACCCGGAACAAGGACTTATTGTACATGATGGCGCTAAAAACGCCAAAGGATTTGACGCATGCGCATTTAATGCTGTCACCCCTGAGCAATATTCTGCGAGAATAAAATTTGCATCACTTAATCTTGCGAATATACAAACGGTGCCTAAACATCGATAATTATGTAACACTCACGCAAATTTCTTTCATCGATGGAAATATCAAAATTTTACCCCAGTCACAGACAGCGACCAAAAACAAATGTGCTAGTCCCTATACTATACATTAACAAACTTAAATTGCTATGTTACAACAGCAGTTATCTATAAGGAAATTTCTTTTCTGTTGGCACATTTATAAGAAATTTAGCATACTTGTTACGAGAAAATTAGTTTCAAGGCAAATTTCCTTAATTTTATACATTTCGACCGTCAACGTATCTGTAACTAGCCTGTAGAAAACTGCACACGCACAGTTAATCATACGTAGTTATTATATAGTTAGTTGGGCGCAGAAATGAAGACGACCCTAAAAACCGATTTTGAAGATCTGGCAGGCCTTAACGGTACGTCTTATCGCATCAATATCCAAAAGATAGAACATTCGTTTCAGTACCCGTAAATATAAGAGAAATTCGCAAAAAAACTTTCATCCTTAATAGCGCAAGTAAAGGGAGACGTGAATAATCCCTTCGGCGTGCTGTTATCTCGAACTAACTTCAATTTGATAAGTATTTTGATGAGTACTAGTTGTGCAATACGGGAGCGCTGTTAATAAAACGGCCGTTTGCTCAGCTGTTAGCCGGTAACTTTCTAAAAGGCTTCCGTGTAATTCACTCTAAAGATGGAGAGGTAATAAAAGTACTTCAGAGTGTTTGTAAATGCCTCAGGCACCTCGTCCAAGATTCAACATGATATCTTCCTACTTATACTTTTTCTATGTAGAGAAACAGTGTGAGGTGTTCTAAAAATGCTGGCATTCAATTGCTAGTGCTTACGCGAGATTAGCACACAAAAGTCATATACCTGAAATCGATGTAGTGGTAAATGAAGAAATTGATTTTACATTCCGCGTTGATAAGATACCATTTCAATATTATCGCGGACTGCAGTTAATAGCAGAAGGGAACATTTCGTAAGGCCAAAGAGTTTGGGATTACATTTATGCCTTTTGCTCTAAGCTTAGTTGGCGTATGGGTGAGGACTTTTTCACCAGATGGTACAAGATGTATCTAAAGAGGACAAGGCTATGAAAAGCTAGTTTATCTCTACTAGGAGGTTATACTTGTTACGAACGATACTACACGACTCCCTCCCAATCGAGACAATTATTATAGCCTCTGTTTCTAGTAGAACAGCAGCTGTCAGGGGGTCAACGCAGAGGACGCGAGTTTGGAGGGAGGACTAACAGTTGTGCTTGTATAGAGGTTTTGTATTAAATAATTTGAAAATATTTACACGTGGCCAGTAGTCAGCCCTCGTATTGTACATTGTTTTCCTCGTCACCACTGTTTGGAGCACCAACTAATTCTCGATTTGTCGTTCTTGGGACCGTGGAACGCTCCGAACTCAATTAAGTAGCTAACGTCGTCCTGAAATGTAGTAGCTATTCGATGCCGCGTGTGTTGAAATTGAAAAATTAGAAAAATCTCTGACTCTAAGACTTGAGCGCGGAGTTCGAGGGCTTTAAACCCGTCTCATTCAATAGACCCCTTATTATTTGTGGACAAAAAGTGATTTCACACTTTTCTTTAATAGCGATAACGATAGCTACTGAAACGTTTACGTGGCGTGGAGTAACGATACTATAATTATCTTGACTAAACATGAGCTCAATTCTTAATAAATTGACCGAGGAAAGGATTAAAAAA